TATATAAAGTACGCAGCCATATTATGGCACTTGTTCTACGTGCAATATGTTGAGAAGGCATCCTTCAGTATTTCCGTTTTAGATGGCACTTTACTGTAAATTAGGAATTATTTTTTTAAATTAACCTTTTATCTCTTGTTAGCTTCTTGTATTTTATTTTGTTTTCATTTTTATTAAATACAGTCGAACAGGAGTTAGAGATTCATCTGAATCTCTCAAATTCAGCTAGAAATCTAAACAGAGTGTATTTTATTACTTATTGGAGATGTACTAGATCAACTGAAACAGATCAGTTCTTCTGAGGATTTTAGCTTTGAGTCCAAACAGTCATCAGTCGTACTTTTCTTGCAAATAATAAAATAATAATAATAATTTGTAACACCTTAATCACAAATATGTGAACAGTACTAAAATATATGACCCAAAAAATAACTACAAGAATTGCTTTCAAAAGCTGGAAATCATTTTGTTTACAGGTTTCTATGTTTACAGCGACTGACCCGAATTAATACTTCAATTGTTGAGGTTTATAATACAGCTTAAAAAAGTCAATCAAAAGGCAAAAGAGACGTGCCAACAGAGTAGCAGCCAAAGTAGACTCCTGAAGTACATGTCAGTATGTGCTCAAGCTGAGACAACACCACACTGGGTTGTCTTTTTCCCAGAGTTCATAGCGTTTAGCTCTAAAGCATCATTTATTGTCACTGTGTGTTCCATCGTCTGAGACCTGTGGAGCCCTTTACTCTCATCAGTTTGGTCTCCTCAGCATCTATAGTGTTTCAGATTTTAGCACTCTTGAGAAGAAAAGAGGGCRTTCTACAACTCCCAACTTACACAAGGTGGGTGGGGGGTGGGTGGGGGAGACAATAGACACCTTTGCCCATCCCCTCATCATGTATTTAACCCCTAATGAGTACGATCAAGACCAGGTCCTCAGTTTGCTGTTTTCAAACAAATCCCTGCTGGATATGTGCTTTTATGGTCAAATATACAAAGTAATTTCATTTATCTCATATTATTTTATATATTTTAATTCAGCTGGCATGGTTTAAAATATAAGAAACTCTATTTGTTCACATTGTGTCAAGGGTAAAAAAGCTGGACGATGAGCTGTAAAGTGAAATCGAAAAAAAAAGAAAATAATTTCTTATTAATATAATCCTTCAAATGAATATTTAATATATGTAATACTATATCAAAACACTTTTTCCCATGTGAGACCAAATGTTTGAGGCTGTACTGTTTATGTCTGTTTCTCGTACACTGATTAACCCAACACATTTCTTTTTAAAGGTGAACAAAATTAGAGATAATGAGGTGTATTTCTGAAGAGAATGTTTTGCCCAATTTGTGCAAAACATTCTGTTTTTTGCAGTTAGAACAAGTTTGATTCTTCCCTCTCTTCAAAGTGTGGTGTGTGTTTATTGATGAGGCGTATTTATTGGGTGGCAGTGGGGTATTATTGTAGATAATGACTGAGACAGATGAGGACAAAGATCCTTTCAGAACTTTATCATCTTATATGAACAGCTTTTAATATTTTATAAAAGAAAATGAACAAAGTTCCTGGAGATTATCAGGCCTCATTGGGGATAATCTTTACTTTCACGGTCTTTTAATGGCTCACTCACAACCTAAAGTGTAGGTGCTCCTGCGAGTAGTTTACGAGGAAATCTTTGGCCTAACTGTGCTGCAGACTGATTGTGAAGACTTTTGGTCGTTGACATGCAAATCCTATAGGTATTGTGAAAACTCAAGAATACATACATTATGCACCTTCTTGTGTAGGAGGTGCACACAACATGGGGCAAGATACCCAATATATGCAGTATAATGGAAAGGATCCAATCCAAGCCGTGTAGTTTTATGGCACTCTGTATGGCAGGCCATTTTAACACAAAATTGTTTTCATCTAACTTTCTGTAATTACATTCTAGATATTTTAAAATGAGTTTTGACTAGAAAAAAACTATGTTTTGACCATCCTGACTGGTAATATAAGATATCTGCATTTACGTTCTGAAACGTCAGAAAAACAAGATATGTTTGATTTGATGGATCAAAATACCGTTCAAGATATCTCAAATGACGTCACTGGATTTGCCATTAATAACTCAAATAATTGAGCAAATAATAACTCAGCAAGACTGACTTAGAGATACATGTATGTACAACTGTATTTTTGATTATTGTCAAAATTCCTTAAAAGAATTGGAGCTTGCATACAACTTAATAGTAAATCATTTATACTAGTCAGAAGGTTATGGAGATATCTTAATTTAATCTACTCATAAACCAATTTGATGATATCTTGAAAATGAAAAAATTTATGTTAAAATGGCATGCCATTACCTCTTATGATCCTACATATCACATCTGTTTTTTCACAGTCTAACAGCACTAATTTATCGACACCTTGAGCAAATATGAACCCATATTATTTCTCCAGTTTTCCATTGATGACTCTGCRGCCTGCCTGCAAGATTGTGACCCGGTTGTGAGTGTAGTCCACAGTTTTGTGAAGCCAAAAGCAGCCTAAGCCCCCACCCCCACTGTAACGATGCATGAAGCAAGTTTCTCTCTTGGAATAATCRTACTATCAATTATCGACAATAGGAGGATGTAAAACATGAATCTTGTAAGCAGAATTATGAATTGTAAGAATGTAAATGTGTAGGATGTAAACCTCATGAACGCACTTACTTAAATGTAATCTCCTTCTTTAATCACGTTGAAAGTACTGTGTTGAGAACATGTTTTATTTTTGTAAGGACAGAACTATTAGCGAGGGGAATCAGAGAGGTAGCGTAGGCAAAATCTGCCTTTAGCTTTTAGCAAAAATGAGGGCTCGACCAGTTTCCAATGGCCTTAATTTAGGAGACATTGCTTCACCATTGTTGCACACAACTGAACGTTTTGACAAAATGTATTTTGCTTGTACTAATTGTACTGAAAGTCTAAATGTATAGTTTTATGAATGTATTTCTAACTCGTTACACTTAGAGTGCTTATTTTCATCGTCGTCACAGGTGGTCACTGAAGACTTTCCTCCGGCCTCGCCTCGGACGGCCGCCACTTTTATCCGTACTGTATGTTTTACTGCTCGTGTCCTGRCGGAGAGCGGCTCTGTTTTGGTTTATTTAAATCGCCCTGACGGTTTGCGAGCGTTGCTGCCCCCCTTTCCTCCCCCACTGAAGTTTTTCAAGCTTGTACTTTTGAACTAGCAAACGTTTGCAGCATGGTGTTTTACGATAAATAACGATCCTTTTCTTGAATCTAACTTTCGCGAYGATGCGACGGCGAAAACACGGGGATTGGTTTGAGCGAGTGCAAAATGCAAGATAATTGTCTAAAAAAAAGCTGTAGAAATCTTTAAGTAGCATGGACTTAGCCTTACAGTCCCACAAATATTTCTTCTGGCAATAAGCATTACCTGTAGCCTCTACTGTTGCCAGGGCGTTAGTTCAGTTTCTCGACTTTTAGAGCTGGAAGAGTGCCATTTGAGACAATAAAAGTCCAAAACCTGAAAGCACTCGAAGCGACTCATTTGAGCATGGACAGCATTGTGTGTATATATTCGATATTTTTATAGCCCTAATGCACAGCAGATTTAATTTCATTATTCTTATTTTTTTAAAGCATGCATTCCACGTGGCTGTTCGATTGAGTTACAGCTGTCAGCATAAACGGAGCAGACAATAACTGCTAATGAGGGCTTAYTGGGATTTCTTGCTGCTGAACATTCTCCCACTTCATCCACGTCGAGAAACATCAACGATCACAGCTTACGTTTTCGTAGCCATTTCCTCCCTTTTTGCTCTGCTGGGACTATTTTTAAGGCCAACATGGCTTCCATCTGAACCGTCAAGACAACCTTTYATCTTATCAAGCCCCTCCCTTACCCCCAAAAGCTTAAATATACAGTAATGGTCTAAGTTTAAATAAGGTAGAAGTTTAGATTCATTCATCTTAAATGGACCAAATAGATTTTGCCAAGCACATCAAGCAAAAACACAAGAAAGCTTCTTCTGAAAATCACAAATTTGTACCCTAAATCCACCGGTGCTGGTAAATGAGCGGTTGTCTTTTCCRACCCCGGCCTTAACCGTTCCACTGAGAAGTGTTGGCAGCGCAAAGACGCTAAAAGAAACAGACTGTGATTGAAAGATGTAGTTTGTGGTAAACCAGTAACACAACAAACAAACAAACAAACAAAAAGGGAGCTGTAATTTTATACTTGTGCTTTGTAAATGTTTTCTATGTGCAGTATTTGATAATGTAAAACTGGTATTTTTGTGGTTTGTACGCAGCAAAATTGATTACTTGAGGTGCACGTAGTTTTGTAAAAAAGGAAGAAAAAAAACAATAGAACCAAACTGGGGTTAAAAAAACCAAACAAAAACAATTTCAGATTCATACGCCTGTATTTGCATGCCTGTTTAACATCTGGATGCGAAGTCAATAAAGTTTATTTGACTCACCTACATTTGTCAAGTCCAGTGATTTGTAGGTCCTGTTGTATTTGATGAATCTCATAGTGCAGTTAGAGTTCTTTGTCACTAGGAGGCAGTGTGTTTCATTTAAAATTTAAATAGTTTTTGTCTTTTAATGTATGCAATAATTTTATATTGGAGTACTTTGCATACTCCATGTATTTAATAAGTTTCTTGGAATATAAATATATAATGACATATTCAAAAAGCAAAGGAGGGGACATGTATTTTCTCTTTAGTGTTAAATGTTGTTTAAGAAAATGACTTGCAATGTTTAAAAAGTTAGAAAAGAGAATCAAAATTTTCGAAAAGAAAAGGGAAAATGACATATCTGAGTACCTCAGCATGTAATGGGTGACAGGACCTATCATTTATTGAAAAACTTGCTCTTGATCCATCATAACTTAGTTACACAAGTACAAAACAACAGGGGGGGGGGGTGAACAAATATAGGAATATTTATGTTGTTTTGTTCTAGTTTTAATTTTGATTTTCTTTTCTCAAATATGGAGATTGTTCAAGTTTAAGTTGTTTTTTTAAATAAGGGGCAGATATATTAGTTCTTTCTTTCTGCACCCTTTTCATTCAGTCATTTATTTACTTGGTTGTTTAATGGATTTGTTGTTTTTATGAATGACATAAATGAATGAATAAAAATAAAAAGGCTATTAAATTAAGCAGATTATTAAAACAAAAAAAGAATTAAGTAATAAAAATTCAGGAACTCCAAAATGAGAACAAGTCATTAAAAAATCTTGGTGCCTTTTGATTAGTGGAGAAATAAATTGAGTGCGTTTGAAGTGTGAACTCTATCAGATGACAAAATTAGTTGTTTTTTTAAATGTAAATTTGTGAAATTTTGTCCTGAATAATTAGTAAATTAATAGACAATTCCTTTGAACTCATCATGGAAATACATCACATCTGACAGCTAGAGCTTCTAGCATCAACCTAAAAATATGAGGCCCCTCAACCRTTATTTGCTGGGGTTCTTGTGTCATGTTCTCTTATGTAAGGTGTCCTGTGACTTCTGACTCACTTTGTACATCACAGTCAAACATTATATTTAAACTTTTATAGCCTCTAAACATGTTTTTCCCCTTGTTTTAGTCACACAACCAGATGGGATAAATAAATTTGGTGCTTCCCATCTTGTTTCATCAAACTCCTTTAAAAGGTTTAAGAGTTGAGCTGACAGGACTGACAGACAGACAGATGACACACACCATACAACTCTTTGATTGTACAAAAAAAAAGGCTGACATTTTGCACACATGTAAAAAGTAATGAAACTTTTTTCTATTTTAGGAGTTTCTCATTGGCACTTCAATATGGCTCAATAGCGCCCTCTCAGGTAACAGCCCCATAAAGAGTTTCATGTGGAAATGACCATTTCTGCTGCTGTAGAACAAAAACTATTTCCTTTTCCCCCCACATTTCTATATCTTATAAATACAAAACAACATTTATTTGTGTCACTGCTTCCTAAAACTTACACATACACGGAAATAATTAGAATCAAAAACAACAAAAGAGATTTGGTGAATTTAAAAGAGCGGCGAATAAAGACGCAGTACAATATGCGTAATTTATTAAACAATATTTATTCCTCTTTTTGCACAAGAACAAATATATGTTTTAAATATTGGTCAATTTGATTGAAGTTCTGTAGACAGAAAAATCAAAGAATGAGAAAAAACACAAAGCTAAAATATCTGCTCGCAGAACAGAATCTTGTTGATTAAMACATAACAAAGGGTGAAATCCTGATAAATAAAATGTGCAACAGCTGAACTGATGAGTCGGTGAAAAGATACTTTCCTTTACTGGTTTTCAGATTACAGAAAACACTCCAGATTGCTGTTGTGACAACGTTGCCTAATTTGCCCCATGTTGGCTAAATTAAAATGAGATAGTAGGAAAGAACAGATATTTTACATTACTRGTTGGTATATGTTCCTCATATGAAAAGCAGCAACCTAAAACCTAAAAAATGACAACAGAAATGGCTTCATGCATTTATAAATGATAATAACACTTAATGGGGAGTCAGGATAGAAAGGAAAATATAATATTTCTGTCATTAAAAGGTTTGTTGTCTCTTTCAGCTTTACACTTTGCCAAATTAGAAGTGTTTCTGGACACGTTCAACCAAAAATGGACAAAAGGCTTTCAACCACGAAACATTTAATGGCCACACAAGTCCACTTCTGGACCTTAAGATAWAAAAAAACAACAACCATAAAACCAGAATTGGCAGCAATACTCAGGTTTTAGACTCCAAACGAGCCCTTACAATCATGAACACATTCAGGACACCACATTCATTGTTAGTTTTTTTTTTGTTGTTGTTGTTGTTGTTGGTCTGAGTCACAACTGATCAATATATACAGCAGAGAGAAGATCCAAACATACAATCGGAGCTGGATACACATTTGCTTCATGCAGTTCAGTGGAAATATCCAACTCTCTCTTGTGCGTTTTTGTCTTCTGTTTACAGACATTGGACATTGAGGCCACTGTTGCACAAAGTRGATGTTTGACTCGAGGCGTGTGAGCACTTATGTGATGACAGTGCATGCAATCTTCTGTTTTTATTTTTTTGTTTTCATTTAAGTGTTCCCACTATTGGAGGCGATAGCACAGTGAACTGCATTGCCGAACGTAAAACTGAACCGCACTTTTCCCACAAGCTAACAAAACGAGAACACTGAAGTACACCCTAAATAAAGCTAGTGCTGATCTTTGGTTTCCCAAAATTAGATTTCAAATATTCCAACACTTAGATGTTGACAGTGTTCGATGGTAAAAGAAGCCCTCTGATAATATGTAGAAATGTTTAAATAGGCTTTGTTGCTCTAGCTTTTGTTACAGTGTGGGTCTAGATACTTAACACTTAAGGAAACTTTTCAATTAAAATTATATAAGAGTCACCCATAAAAACTAAGGTTTTAAGATGACTTTGATAGGGGTCTTCAGTGGGTAATCCTTAAATACTAAACTCTAAATACACAAGGAAAGATAATGGTGATTTTTCTACTTGTCCTAGCGGTCCAAACAAAAGAATTCGAACATTAATCCCTGCAAAAATGACAAACAGATAAAGCATACCATCRTTAGAAGACTGCAACTACATGCACACTGAAAACCTCAACAGAAGCAAATCTTGGTTTTGGCATCACCAAAAAATTACAGTGATTAAAGTGCACAAATTAAAAAAAAATAGACAGGAAAATCTGTAGCTTTTGAGTGTAACAGAGGAGATAAAAAGATAAAGTTTGCAAACGAAACACCTGCTTTGGTCGAGTCTTGCAGAATGTAGCACTGGGAATATTACATGAAAAAGACTGAATTCAACTACAAACCAGCAAATGTTTGATGAAATTAAATTACGTTTGATGAAAATCAGGAGGAACGATGCTTTCTGCAACAGAATAATGGTCCAAACTAAAACTTCAGTACTATGTCTAAGCTGAAAGGGTTGACCCTGGAAATATCCTTCATGAATCCGGACACATATTCAGATTCATTTATATTCAAAACCATTTGATGAATGTTGGATGTGAAAAGATAAAAAAAATAAATAAATAAATCCCAAATTTATCAGACAAAGACCATTTTGTTCTATTGGCAAGGGGAGGTGCTAAAACAAAAGAGCAACAATAAATAAATAAATAAGCTTAAAATAAATTAAATATTGAAACCATTAGAACTAATTTGTTCTGCTTTTTTAATAAATGACATTAATATGTACTTGGCTTGCTTTACCTCATGACCCTGAAAAAGAAAGAAGCATGGTTATGGTAATGGATGGATGCTTTGTTATGCACTAAAAGAAACACTGGCCATATTAATTCTCATCACCAGAAAGGAAAAACTTGCCAAGCGTTTGAATTTTGATGTTTTTTGTAAAGATGGCCAATTTATAATGGACCATGACTGWTTTATAAATAAAGCATGAAAACATTCAAGAGTATGAATAATTTTTAGAAGAACTAAATATTTAGATATATTGTACTTTTGTCTCCACTGGCCCTATATGGAGTAAACACTCAAAAATTTGCGCTTGTTTCTGGACAATGTTAGAATTATAATTTTCAAGTCCTATTATGCCAAGAAGCAGCATAATGGCTAAGTCCTCATAGTTTAACAGCAATTTGAGTGGATAATTTGAGTGGTGAGCCATTAAGTACCACATATTTTAAAACCTTTGAATGTTTTTGGCAATCAATTATTTTAAAACAAATCTTAACACTGGTTCAATGAAAATTATATAAATCTAGTGACAAGTTTTTCATAAATCAATTTACTATAATTATTACATACTGCAAATTGAAATGTGTAAGTGTTTATGTTGATTTGAAGAAAGCATTCAACACAACCACAGCATTCTTCTTGGAGAGCTGAATCGATATGGTTTTAGAGGACCAGCACTACAGTGGGTATCAAGTTATTTAAAAGGTAGAAAACAGTTTGTACAAGTAAATGATGTAAGATCTGAACTCTGTAATCACATGTGGAGTTCCACAAGGTTCTTATTTTGTATGTAAATGACTTGGTAAATATGTCGGGACTTTTAAAATGTGGTCTGTTTGCAGATGATCCTACATTTTTTTGTTTGGGTAAAGACAGAACGAATGATGGGGATGATACAGATAGAATT